GAGAGCTTACTTTAGCTATTCCTTAAGGGTAAATCTCCTAGCAACAATTTTTTAAGTTCCCCTTCATCTGAGAATGTCTTTATTTCTCTTAATTCCCAAAGCAGTTTCTTTGCTTTTTCTTCCAGCACTTAAAAAACACTGTGCTTCCATGATTTCAGACAAGATTTCATTGTCATTTGAATTAGTGTTTTCTTTATAGATAACACATCTTTTCTCTCTAGCTGTTTTTAAGATTTTTTTTTTTTTCTTTTAGTTTTCAGAAGTCTAATTATGACATGTCTTGGTAAGAATTTCTTTGAGTTTATCCCATTTGGTGTTCATTGTATTTTGAATCTGTAGGTATTTTTTTTCACCAAATTTGGGATTTTTTCAACCATTATTTCCTTGAATACATTTTCAGTCCAAAGCTCTCTCCTCTCATTCTGGGACTCATGATACAAATGTTAGAATGTTATTGTCCCACAGATTGCTGAAGGTCTGTAGATTTTTTTTTTTTAGTCTAAATTCTGTTGTTCACATTGAGTAAATTTTTTGATCTGTCTTCAAATTTATTCTATTCTCTGCCACATCCACTCTACTTATGAGACCAACCAACCAGTAAGATTTTTCTTTTAAATTTATTATATTTTTCAGTTCTATATTTTCCATTTTCTTTTTTTATAGCTCCTATTTCTTTGACAAATTTTTCTATTTTCCCTTGGTTTTTAACAAAATTCATAATTGGTCCTTGAATTACTTTATGATTTGCAGGAATTGAGGAAACATTCTTTATTACACATGTTGTCTTGAATTTTATATGTAGATATAAAGACAGGGAGAGTGAAGGTTTGTAAGTTTGTAAGTTTTCTGTATTTTATGTGAAGTGATTCCACATTAACTATAACAGATTACACATACACACATACACACATATACTTTTATATTCTAAATTCCTACAGCTTTCCACTAAAAAGCACTTGAAGTTATACAAATGTTTAGCATATGTCTGCCATCTAACAGGAACTTAATGTTTGATGAATTGAACAAAAATAGAAAGTATTATTTTCTTTTCTAAAGCTTTCATTATTAAAATTTCATTTAAGAAAACAAGCAATACCTTTGATCATAAATTAAAAGGTATAGGGCTAGGGCCTGAGGAAAGTATTCATTACAGACAGAATAACCTGTTGCCATTGATTCAATTCCGACTCATAGCAATCCCATGTGTTACAGAGTAGAACTGCCCCATAAGGTCTCCTTAGCTGTGATCTTTACAGAAGCAGGTCACTAGGCCTCTCTTTCACATTGCTGCTGATTGTTTCTGAATCGCCCACCTTTAGGTTAGTAGTCAAGAACAAACTGTTTTTATCACCCAGGGACCAGACAGGATAGCATATTATATTGTATAATCCCCTCTTTAAAAGCAAAACAAAACACTGCTTCCCCCAAGAAGTTATAAGAGATTAAGAACACACTAAAAATGCTTTATTGTACTGTAAATACATTGTATTTATTATACATTTTAAATGGAACATGCTGTACATTGGATGAAACACATATCATTCATCAAGATTAAAAAAATAATGTCTCCATCAGCTGAAAAGATGGCAGGCATTAAAAAAAAAAGAAAAGAAGGAAGAACAGTTCTCAAATATTACAGTAACTTCACAGTGTACTATGTATATTTTATAACCTTCTACTAAATAAAAGGGCACTAAACATTATACACAGCTTAGAGAGCGTAAATGTCAGAGATTTTACAGAAGAAAAAAATATTAGCATTCTGGAATAATTTCTCTTCCTGATCCATTTTCTGCCCACTGGAAAAAATTGCACTGTTTTCCCTTCCCAAGAGGACACACAAAAAAATTCCTTCCATTATTAGGTCCAATCTTCACTACTGTTTTCATGATGGAGCGTTTGCCGTGGTTGCAGAATGGGAAGGACAAATCTGCCCACTAGGGATAAAAGCAAAACAAGATTGTAAAGCTTATATGGAAGTTAGAATGATATACAGGCTAAGCTTGGGCTCATTTGATTAGTACCATATTGTCTTCTCTGCTGTTACTATTAATTTGACATTGTAAAATAGACATAAACCATTAATTGCTGCCCTTAAAAAAGCTTGTATCCTGTAAGCAGCATCTCATACAAATCTGCTTGAATTACACAGAAAATTGCCCTAGTTCTGAGCTTCCATTTATCTTATAGGCATATGTATAGAAGTTCCTTCACTTCATTAAGAATAATTGAAAACTCCCAGAATCCTGATGTAATGCAATCACTTGTATCCATGCTATAAGTCTATTTTAGTTAAAACTGTAAGGTTAAAGATTTGCCATGACACTAACTCATATTAAATTTCCTTTGTCTCTTAGGAAAAGAAATAAACCAATACAAATCAAGATTAAATTAAGCAGATTCCATTGCATTATTATTATTAATTTGGCCAAAAGGAGGTATGAAGCAGGTTGTGATATTATCAATACTGCTGATAATATTCATTCTATTACATCTATAAAGGAAACTGGTGAACTCAGTAGGGTGGAGTCACATTTTCTGCAAGGGTTAAGATCTAAAACGAACATCAAAATTTCCCGGGGAAGTTTCTTAGGAAGGTGCTAAGTTGAAGGAAGGTATTTTATTTCTCAATAAGCCTAACTAAAACTTATGCTCCAGCTTCACAACATATCAGTAATTCCTTTTCTTCAGTTAAGCGCCAGATGAAGCAGTTGGAAAAATATGCATCTTTAAACACTGGAATCACACTCAGCATGGTGATGCTCACACTGAGAAATGCAAAAAGTGAGCTGCTAAAGGGACCCCCAAATTCTTTTTCCTATCCCACATTCATTTTCAAGAATACAGCCATTGGGAAGGCATGAAGAATTGCCCATAGCTAAACTGTTATCGTGCCATTTCTTTTATTTTGATCAAACACGTGTAGTAGGATTTGCTTAAGTTTTTTTTTTTTTTTTTGTAAATCTAAGGGATATAAATTGTTTTTGTCTTGTGTCTCTATTAAATACATAAACTGAGAGTTTGAATGTAGCATTGATGTCAGGAAAAACAAATTCTTATCTTGGATTATTAGCCATATGAGTAAATAGCTTTAATACCTTTCTAACTTTATAAACCAATGGCAACACTTTTATGCTTGTGGTTACAAATAGGATTTATTTTATTTTATTTTTTGCTGAACCATTTTAAATTTTAAATTAGTCCCATTCAGGGTTTAGACTGAGTATCAGTGTGGCTATTCAAAGCTTAACAGTAAAACTGGAAAAAGATTGCTATCTGTTATATTTTAGCCACACTATTCAATTACACTGTAGTAAAGTTGACAAAAGAAGCCCGAGGTGCATTAGTTAAGCACTTGGCTGATAAGGGAAAAGTCGGTAGTTCGAAATCACCAGCCACTCTGCAGGAGAAAGATAAAAGATGTGGCAGTCTGCTTCCGTAAAGATTATTGCCTTGGAAACCCTGTGAGGGCAGTTCTAATCTGTCCTATAGGGTCGCAATGAGCCAGAATCAAATTGACAGCAATAAGTTTTTAAGGTTAACACATCTTGTACATACTTCAAAAAATCCACATTGCGCTTCTCTAGGTAGAGGACAAGCATAAAACCGCCTGCCCTTGTTTTCACCATCCTTCCTTACAATTCGGAGAACGCAGAGGCGGTTGTGTATACTGCAGCGACGACTGCCAGCGTTTAATGCACAAGCACCATCTGTCACATTAATTGGAAGTTCACTGTAATGACAGGTTACAAAATAACTACAGCATAATAGTGCTAAAGGGATCATTCACACCACCTCACCCCCACACATCAGAATTCCACTTGCACAAAGAGATTATAGCAAAAAGTGGGCCATGGTCAACTTTCAGCACACACATAAACCGCTATGTCTTTTTTACTCTTTGTTTTCCCAGGTAATTCAAATTTACTTCTAAAGAAACTTGTGTGCCTGAAGCACATAATTTGAATTTCTAAAGCATGAAAACAACTGAATTATCCATTACAATGGCTACTATTTTCTTAGTTTTCATTTGAGATATTTGGTTTTCTGATCAACATCACAGTGTGGCCACTTCTAGTTCCTTTAAAATATACTCAAATCCAGCTGCTCCTGCAAATATAACTAGACCCACAATCTTCTCTAATTATTTCTTCACTGGTAGTAAGCTCTTATCAATGGCTCACAAGGCCAGAGAGATCACTCTCTCCACTGTCCACTTTAAAGACCATCTTCTATGCTTTTCTTTGATCAAGGCCACTGTAATAGCAGCAATCATATTTCAGCACGATACAGGTTGCCTGGCCGAGCAGAAATGTGTATTTTGTAAAGCTGGTAGGGAAGCTTTATTCTGCCCACGACCAGGATCAAGAGTAGCTGGAGGTCATTCCTGTATACAGGGTACAAAGGCCAGGAGCCGCTCTTCTGCTCTAGCTGTGTGAGCTAAATTTTCTCTTTGAAAACAACCTTCATTGTTACTTCTAATCTTGAATATTTTGCATATTTAAATACTGTCATTAGAGCAGTCTGAGTGAACCACTGAAGAAAAAAAGTGTTCATATTAATTAAAATCCTGAGTCTTTCCATCTATTATCCCTATCTTTAAAATTTCAACAAGCAGTACTTTATTCTTTCTCAATTTTTGGGGGTAAATGTCTAAGAAACAAAATAAATAAGTAAGAAAAATGGAAAACACCCAATTTTTAAGTATTTTAAAAATAGAAAATACTTAAAAATCATATATTTTCCATTTTTCTTGCTTTCAAAACTACATTTACATATTTGTTCTATAATGTTGCCTCAAGGTATCATAACTGAAAAGTTCAGAATACATGATCTTTTATTTGTGATGAAATTGAAATTGGTTTAAAACTCATTTACAAAGCAGATGCTTAAATATATTGCTTCAAAAACTATGATGGATTCAAACATCATGAAGGTAGTTTCTGAAGCTGTTGGTAGAGCAGCCATTTGTAAAATGAATGTAGGTATTGCCAGCCACTCCTCGGAAGGAAGGTTGGGCAATCCACTTCTGTAGTGATACTGCCTTGGAAACCCAAGGAAGGGTCGCTATGAGTTGGGTTTGACTCGATGGCACATAACAACAACAACAACGTAGGTATTGCTAAGGAAATCATTAATAGTTATATATTTGACCAGCAACTATTTTGTGGGTACCCTCTACACAGGGTGGATGGGGGTGAAGTGGCTCATATTTTAGAATCAAGGAAATGCCAAACCAGAATAGAAAAGTTACAAGGCAATGGGCTTTTCTTTTCCATAACCATCCATCCCTTATACAACCTCCCCTTACCCCTCACCATAAGAAGACATATGAAGTCTTTAACTTCTTGACCACCACATGTCTGTCAATATGCTGTATTGTGGTGGCTTGAATACTGCTATGACAGTTGGAAGGTATGTCGTTGGTATTTCAAATACCAGCAGGGCCACCCATGGTGATCTAGTTGCAGCAGACCTTTCAGTCTAAGATAGAGTAGGAAGAAAAACCTGGTGATCTACTTCCAAAAAATTAGCCAGTAAAAACCCTATGGATCACAACAGAACATGTTCAATACAGTGCTGGAAGATGAGCTCCTTAGGTTGGAAGGCACTCAAAATGCAGTGGCCACAAGGGACTTGAGGATACATACCAATGATCATGAAGATGGCATAGGATCAAACAATATTTCATTCTGTTGGTCATGGGTTTGCCATGAGTTAGAGCCAACTTGATGAAACCAACAACCACCTCAGGAGAACTATTATGTCTGGTTGGTTATAATGAAGTCAGGGATTTCAAAATTAGGCAAGTAGGGCATAAAGCTTTATTATTATTATTATGTTTAAAGGAAAAAGAAAAGAGGTTATAAGAATACTAACAGAAACAAATGACACTACACTTAGTTATTAAAACACACACAGATGCAAACATGGTTTCATATATTATTTTAAAGGTGGCTGTCTTACATAACAATTAGTTAAGCATTTTCTAACCCACTTGCTTCAATCTAGAGCTCTCCAGGGTTCTCCATAGCCAGGAACATGTTTAAATTCCTTTACTATTAGAGCTTTTCTGGGGGAGGTAGAATTAAGGTGGAAAGGAAAGGCTTCAGTGTTTTCCTTGTTCCCTCATTTGTGTCTTCTGCTTTATTTCTTCCTTAGTTAAAAAAACAAAAACAAACAAAAAAAAAACCCAAGAAACAAAGTATTTATATATTGTTGCTGTTGTGTGAACAGCAATATGAATCAATTATGATTCATAGAGACCTCTGATGACACAGTAGAACTGCCTCATGGGCTTTCTAGGCTGTAATGTTTCATCAGGTCTTTTCTCCTGTGAAACCAATGGTAGGTTAGAAGTGCCTTCATTTCAGTTAACAATGAGGGCTCAATCACTGCCTAAGCACTGGCAGGTAATATATATATTATCTTAGTCTTGGAATTCAGTGTATGATCCACTGACCAGAAACATCAGTATCACCTGGGAACTTGTTAGAAAAAGAACTTGTTGGAAATGGAATTATCCACCAGATACAGAATTAGAATCTGCATGTTAACAACATTCTCAGGTGCTTCCTATGTACATTAACATTGCAAAGCACTGAGTGAGTTAATGTAACCAAGAAACTGATGCCACCTGTGATCACATTCATTCTAAATATGCACAACAAATCTTAATTTTATGGTAGAAAACGTTATCCAGCATAATTAAGTGTTCTAATTAATTGAAGACATCTCCCTTCCTCTTTGTTTCAATCATTACTCAAAAACTTTCTAAAAGGTAGCAGAGTAGTATTAGGTAAATTTACTACAGAGAATAGATTGACTAATTTTGATACTTAGGACTATCATTTTGAGTATTCATATCAGATTATAAATGCTGGATTAATAGAGCAGAGGTCAGCAAACCTTTTCAGACAGTAAATATCCAATGCTTGGCAGTACTAACTCTGCTGCTGCAGCATGAAAATTAGCCATATAGAAATATGTAAATGAATGAGTATGGATGTGTTCCAATAACACTTTATCTACTGAAACACAGAGGTGGCTGGAATTGGCCCTGCTAGCTGTCAATTGCAAACATCTGATGTAGGGTCATTAGAACCAAGAACAACACTTGAAGCATAGTAGGTTCTCAATAAATCCTTATAAATTAGTAAATTTAAGAAATTTAACAGTGATAGAATAAAAGCTAAACTTGAGATGGAAGACATTACCAAACACAGGTTTATAATTTTAAAATGAGTAAGTATTTTTTTCCAATGATCAATTATTATGGTTTAACTTATTTACAAATAACATGATTCAGTAAAAAAAAAAAAAATCTTGCCTGATTGTTTTTTGAATTAATCATTCTCACGGAACGTAGGTTTTGTAGTCCAGTAGCATTTTAAAGACTAAAACAGAGGAGATAAATTGACTCTTTCTGGATGGTCCTGTTGTTGTTGCTGTTATGTGCCGTCGAGTGGGACCCGACTCATAGCGACCCCTCCTTGGGTTTCCCAGGTGGTATCACTACAGAAGTAGATTGCCCCATCTTCCTTCCAAGGAGTGGCTGGTGGGTCCTAGCAGTTCTGAAATCCTTGTTGTTCTTGTTGTTAAGTGCCATAGAGTCGTTTCCGACTCATAGCGACCCCATGCACAGCAGAACGAAACATTGCCCGATCCCACGCGAGCCCCACAATCCCTGAGACCATCATCGCAGCCACCGTATCAATCCATCTCCTTGAAGGCCTTCCCCTCTTTCGTCGACCCTCCACCCTACCAAGCATGACATTCTTCTCC